AAATGTCCCGCAATCCGAAAGTGGCGGGTTCCTCAGATCATTTGAAGCAATTTCTTCCTTTACAAAAATTGTCTCCGAGGCACCGTTAACGAGTTATTAACGAAAAACAGTGACCAATGAGAGGCGAGCTCGGCTGGCGCGAGGCGACCGAGCCAATGAGCGGAACTGGGCTTCGTGCGCTGGTTGGCTGGGCCGCCTCGCGTCAGCCGTACTCGATTCTTATTGGTCACTGTTTTTCGTCAATAACTCGTTAACGGTGCCTCGGAGAAAATTTTTGTAAAGGAAGAAGTTGCTTCAAATGATCCGAGGAACCCGCCATTTCCGGATTGCGAGACATTTTTGGGATACCCTGTATATTGTAAATAGCACTCATCCATCGATTTCTTTCAATCTTCCACTATACTCTTTCAAACGGAATTTCAGGCGCATTACTTAACCCTTTACACTCCGTTGTTCCCTCTCAAGGCACATCATAATTCTAGGATATCATTTAGATGTCCCCTCTGAGGGAACATTAAAGTTTATTATATTGGAATGCTTTAAAATTGATCATACTGTACACAAAATTATAAGAAACAAACTGTTGATTTTTTTATGCAAATATATGTTCCTCGATGTCTACAAATTCGTATACATCGAATATCATTATAATATCTTACTTGGTTTCAAAGGTATACTATATTAGTATAATTATTATTATTAATTAAAGGGTTAATATAATTCAAAATAACTAAATGTAATACAACTACGCAACGTTATTACAGCTCTCAGAGATTTATCCTATTAATTCAAAAAATTGCGCTTATTTTCTTTTTCTTTTCTTCGTTTCTTTTTTTACTTTGACTCTGTATCTAGTCATTCTAAACCTCTGCATTTTTTATTTCTTTTCTGTAATTTCATAACTAGTGAGTAACTTCCAGTGCATGTTCAATAAATACATAAATAAATACATAAATAACTAAGTAAACAAATTTTCGCCGAGATTCGAAGCACGCTGTTCCCCTCGCGCTTCCCGCGTCGTTTAACGCGCCCGATTCTCGAACAGATTACAACCAGTACACCGTGAACCAATCGGTGCCGGTTCAGCCGAGCGTCAAGATCAGCGAGGTGAACACGAAGCAGTATCAGAAGCCGAAGAAGGTGGCGGTGAACGAGGCGGACAAGTACAATCTGAACCAGGACGTGACCGTGCAGGACTACGACATCTACGAGAACCAGGTACTTTTGTCCTGTAGAACGCGGTCCTCTGGTGGCGAGGGCGACCCTCTCCGTCCATATAGGACGCATCTTCCGTTCGACTCGACCACCAGAGATTTCGCCGCGGAATATCGAGCCACGAGTTACAACACCTGTCTCTGTTTTCTTGTTTTCGTATCGAACGACTCCTAGGCGCAGCTGAACAAGAACAAGTTCCGCATCAACGAGGGCCAGTCGTTCAGGTGAGAAGTTTCTTATTAATCGAGAAAGGTCCTCTGCCGCGGTCTCCGGACGGGCCCCGCGTCCAAGAAGAAAGAAAGGAGCGATCGCGCCGCGACGGCTCCTCGAGCGTGAACCGTTCCGCGGGACAAGAAAATTGCCGAGAGCCGATCGGCGGGGCGCGCGATCGTGCACGCGTTGTCGCCTCGAGCTTTCCTCGGCCGCCTTTCAGCTCGGCCATTCCCGTCAATTACGACCCGCGGAAACGGACGGTGCATCGGTGCATCCTCGCGGACGTCTCGCCCGGGCGCTGGATCACCCCGATCCGTCGCGTCGCGTCGGACGCACGCGTCGCCGCCGGAGTCGCGATCACGCGCTTACGTAAAGGCTCGTAAACGGCGCCGATTTATCATGCCGATCGACGTTAAAAATAGTCCCTCGACTCGCACTGGCCCGGCTGGTCTCTCCCGGCGACCAGCTGTTCCTTGAAAGCCCGTCGCTCGCTTTCCGAGAATTTCCTTCGTTTCTTAGCGGCGGCGCTCGCTGAAATTTCACTCGACCTTTCTCGCGTGACCGCGTGTCCGGTCCCACGGAATTCGAACGAGACGGAGGATTCGATCGGTTAATCGGGAGTCGCGTGTCCTGCAGGCCGAACGTGCTCAGCCACCCCGTTGTCCACGTGACCACGCCGAACGCTATCGTCGACACGTTCATTCCGCTGACAACCACCACCCAGCCGCCGCCTTCCACCACCAGCAGGCCTTACACGGTCAACGCACCCGTCAGGTACGCTATCCGATCTTTCTCTCTTCCCTTTTCGTCTTTTCACGTTGCGTAATCGGCAGTCCGCGGATTTTATGCATTTATGGCAAAATCGAGCAGACGAAATGTAAAATTGCAACGATATATGAAAGAATTCAATAATATTATATATATATAAATTTATTTTATTATTTTATATATAAAAATATAATATAATATTATTATATTATTATTATTATTATTATTATTATTATTATTATTAATATTATTATTATATTATTAATAAAATATATATATATATACATTTTATTATTTTATATATAAAAATTATATATAAAAATATATATAAAAAAAATTCAAGTCTGTATATTATATAATAGTATGTAATATAATATGTAATAGTGTAGTAATTTCTCCCTAATTGTCCTTCACCTTGCAAACAAAAATTGAACAATTTGGGAAGAGGCGATACGATTATTCCAGCCTTGCACCTCGTTTTCATAATTGTTGACAATCGGCAACTATAAGAATGAACCGCGAGCCTCGAATAATCGTATCTCCTCCTCTCAAGTTCTCCATTTTTGTTCGCAAGCTGAAGGAGAATTGGGGAGAATTTATACTGTATTTGCAACTGTAATTATCTCCTCCTCTCAAGATCTCCATTTTTGTTCACAAGCTGAAGGAAAATTGTGGATAGTTGTTTACTCAATGAGCTTGACTGAGTTTATTAGTTAATGGGCCACATTTAATATATAATAGTTAGAAAAAAATAAAATAAGAACAAGAAAAAGGTGATAAAAAGTAAAAAAAAAAGTATGCTACAGTAACATTTTATTACATTATTGCACTGGCCACAGGAGCATAAATAAAAGTTTAGAAAGCGAAGAAAATCTGGTACTTAAAAAAAAAAAGAAGAAGCGATAAACACCGCATCTCCATACAACGTGAACCACTGTGCGTCGTCTCCGGCAACCAAGACCCGATTTCGCTGCTCTCTGAATACCGTAAAACGAAGCCGGACTCGCTTTCTCCCGCTGCTGACGCGGGAGGACATTTTCCCTTCGCTTCCCGCCGGAAACGTCGTCGATTTTTCGTTTACCCTCGTCCCTCTCGCGTTTCCTCTTCACCGCGGCCGCCGTCTTTAATTCTTTCCTGTTGTTCCAGCAGCCGTGGACGCCCGCAACAGATCCATCGCGGCACCGCTCCTCCGTAAGTACAAATTCCGACGGTTTATTCGCCTCTCCCCCCGCCGACCGGTATTCTAATCGCCGCGAAAAATATGGATCTCTCGATCGGTTTATCTCCGCGAGACCGCTAGAAAGTGAAACCGCGGTTCTGTTGGTTTCGTTCGGGGCGGGATCGAGAGCGCCTTACGTTATCCGCCAAGTAATCGGTGAATTAATCCGACAGGAAGCAGTCCATCCAAACACCTTCGAATTCTTTTCTCGCCGCTATCGTAACGGCTAATCTGTCTAGCGCCGCGAGTGTCGCTTCGAGAGGTGAACGAACGTTACCCGTCAAATTAATGCAGCTAGAAAGTTAATTGCCCGCGAGCCAGGCGACCGATCGCTCTTAGACGAGGCGAACAATCGATCGGCCGACGGAATAATCCCGGGTACCGCGATCTTCCCCGAAACGGAATTGAAATCGTCGCGGTCCCGAGCAGTGTTGTCACCGATACCGCATCATATATAATGATAATATATATATAAATATATAATATATAATATATATTTATAATATAAATAATCATATATAAATATATATCGATACCTATCGATATCGGTTCACAAATTTCGAGCCAATGCCGAATTTTATGTGTCCGATGCTCGTGCGGGAATATCGATACCCGACTGATGCTTCTACAAGAACGGAAGTTGCCATTATACATAAATATTTTCTGACGAACGACAATTCGCGAAGCATCAAACGAGTGTATCGATACTTTCGGAAGCTATCAAAGAAGCTTCGATTCAATACGGTATTGATTCGGTATCATTTTAGCACTTTAATGGCCGCCAGGGGCCGGTAATATTTTTGAAGTATTCATTTAGAGAAACTTTATGTAAATTCGTGAAATAATTCAACATGTGCGAACATACACATGAAACAAAAAAAGACAACAATAACATGGCGTTTAATACAACAAATTTAATATTTTTCCTTCGCATGATAATTATTAAAGCACCTACATAATTATTAAAGCATCGCACGCATGTTGTCCGAGCGACCATTAAAGTGTTAAGAAGCTTCGATACTAACAAGTGATACCAAGTACAGTAAATTCTCCTAATTAACAGGAGATACGATTATTCGAACCTTGCTGCTCGTTTTTATATTTGTCGACAGTATCTCCTCTTCTCAAATTGTCCATTTTGGTGTACAATCCGAGCGTCAGTTAGGGAAAATTTACTATAAGAATTTACCTAAAATTTCGATACACATCGATACCTGCTATTAAGTACTATATCATCTAATTGATTGAATATCGTCAATAATATCAATAAAGTAAATTCTGCCTAATTTACGCTCAACTTGTATACAAAAATGGACAATTTGGGAAGGGCAGGTACGATTACTCGAGCCTTGCTTCACGTTTTTATAGTTTTTGAAAAACAATAACTATAAAAAGGAGCCTCAAGGCACGAACAATCGTTTCTCCTCTTCCCAAATTGTCCTTCCCAATTAGGTAGAATTTACTGTATCGATTCCATCGCTAGTCCCGATCATGCTCACGCTCGAGAACGCCCGGGATTTTCGAATGTCGACGGTTTGCGGCTGGCAGAAAACTAGGATTCCGTGACACCTGGGTGATCTGTGGGTTCCAGGCGATCGCGGCCGACGCTGAAGCCGTCGACGGAGATCGTGTCGAAGGCGCAGGAGTTCATCGACATCTACAGGTACCCGCCGACCAGGCCGTTGCCGATCTACCCGACCCCGCAGGTCGACAAACCCGCGGCCAAGTGTCGCAAGGACGTCTGCCTGATTCCGGATTGCAGCTGCGGCGGCATCGACATTCCAGGTGAGCCGTCGCGCGGGGACCCTCGTCCGCGCTTCGATTCGGTCGAGGAGCTTTGGAAAAGCGACCAAGGGTCTCGTCGCGCCGTTTAGGATGCCCGCGGAAAGGCGAGGGGTGACGCAAGCGAGCGGTGCTCGCGCCGCGAATGTTAAGTTCGAGCGGTCGCGAAAACGGTTCGGCAGTCGTCGCCGCCGACGCTTTCTCCGATTCTAACGTTACACGAGCGACAGTGAAACAGATCCGCTATGCCGGTGGCGATTTCGCGCGTACGCTCGTCGAAATCGAAAGCTCCGCCCGTGACGGGAATCGAAAGAGCAAGCGTTTCCGGTCGGTGCCGCGTGACGACACCTCGGCTTCTCCGTTCTGGCAACTCTACCGGAAAGTTTCCTTCGGGTTCGACGGTATTCAACTCGGCCCTCTTTGTTATTCGGCTATTTGGCATATTAACACGTTCCGTGCCACGTGTACCATCGATGGTACACGCTTGCATGTTTACTTAGTGAACTGAAGAAATTGTTTACAAGAAATTTAGAACCGAAGAATCAATTTCCACCGCAAGAATGGGCGTTGATAAGTTTTTGTTACGTTGTTGTGTGTACGAGAATTAATAATTGCACGTAATACATCAAGTTTTAGTAAAATATCAAAGTTTGAAGATTCGAGTAAAAAAAGCTCGGCACGGAACGTGTTAATGGGTGCGTTTCAACACTAGAGCTAGCAAACCGGTCAAAATCACTGGCTTCTGATCTCTTCTTTTACAATTTCTGATACCGTAGGAATGTTTTTGTTGCAAAATTTTTATTCGAACTTTTCTCCATTCGTGCATATATTATAATAAAAGTCGTGCATAAAATCTATGCGTATTAATGGGTGCATTTAAACACTAGAACTACCAAACCGGTCAAAATCACTGGCTTCTGACCTTTTCTTTTACAACTACTGATACCGTATGAATGTTTTTGTTGCAAAATTTGTATTCGAACTTCTCCATTCGTGCATATATTATAATAAAAGTCGTGCATAAACTAGAACTACCAAACCGGTCAAAATCACTGGCTCCTGATCTTTTCTTTTACAATTCCTGATATCGTAGAAATGTTTTTGTTGCAAAATTTTTATTCGAACTTCTCCATTCGTGCATATATTATAATAAAAACCGCGGGTAGTTTAAGTAAATCCAGCCTTGTGATCGTTATAAAAGGATGTGCTTTAATCGCGTTTAGGACTAGTGTTAGTTCTAGTGTTAAAGTGCGGATGAAATTTTGATAAACTCACCGCTGGAACGAACACAGGCAGATTTGTATTATTCGTTCCGGCACGGAACGTTTACGAAACGGTTTTGCTCGGGCAAGCATTATTGCGGGTAAAGTGATTCAACTATTTATATACCTGTGGCTACAAGAAAGAACGCCGATGTTACATGTTTTCACTTCCAAGATATCGTCGCCTAACGCTAGATTTACGGAGCACAAAAAACAGCTGTTTCATGTTAGCTTATAAGACATTTATTCTGACTTTTAACGAGTGTTATTGTAACATTTGCCGTAAGTAACATATAAATTGAATAAATAACTCGTAAATGTATCTTTACGATGTGAATAATCGTAAATTAAAAAATTAGTGACCCGTCATTATGACGGGTTCCGTGAATCTGATGTTAAAGTTCTGATGCTGAAGTTTCAAATTGCATCATTTCGTCTTCAACTCTATAGAATTTGTTTCCACGATGTTTCTTTTTCCGATAAATGCGCGAATCCTATATGCTACAGTTCAATTAATGCATTAACTATGTATGCCCCTATGTCGAGTCAGACTCGACATTAACTTTTGCATTAATAGTTTATTTTCATGTACGTAGAACAATTGTAGTATTTCTAGTGCTAGTTAGGTTGCAAAGGATTGCGTTATAACAAATTCTGACATAAAAGGAAGAAAATACTTTGGAACACAAAAGGTTAATTTAAATTTCGTAAAATTGTGACTTTCGGAATTTTTCCTTATAGCCACAAATATAGCACCGTGCGGTTCGAACANAAGTTTTTGTTACGTTGTTGTGTGTACGAGAATTAATAATTGCACGTAATACATCAAGTTTTAGTAAAATATCAAAGTTTGAAGATTCGAGTAAAAAAAGCTCGGCACGGAACGTGTTAATGGGTGCGTTTCAACACTAGAGCTAGCAAACCGGTCAAAATCACTGGCTTCTGATCTCTTCTTTTACAATTTCTGATACCGTAGGAATGTTTTTGTTGCAAAATTTTTATTCGAACTTTTCTCCATTCGTGCATATATTATAATAAAAGTCGTGCATAAAATCTATGCGTATTAATGGGTGCATTTAAACACTAGAACTACCAAACCGGTCAAAATCACTGGCTTCTGACCTTTTCTTTTACAACTACTGATACCGTATGAATGTTTTTGTTGCAAAATTTGTATTCGAACTTCTCCATTCGTGCATATATTATAATAAAAGTCGTGCATAAACTAGAACTACCAAACCGGTCAAAATCACTGGCTCCTGATCTTTTCTTTTACAATTCCTGATATCGTAGAAATGTTTTTGTTGCAAAATTTTTATTCGAACTTCTCCATTCGTGCATATATTATAATAAAAACCGCGGGTAGTTTAAGTAAATCCAGCCTTGTGATCGTTATAAAAGGATGTGCTTTAATCGCGTTTAGGACTAGTGTTAGTTCTAGTGTTAAAGTGCGGATGAAATTTTGATAAACTCACCGCTGGAACGAACACAGGCAGATTTGTATTATTCGTTCCGGCACGGAACGTTTACGAAACGGTTTTGCTCGGGCAAGCATTATTGCGGGTAAAGTGATTCAACTATTTATATACCTGTGGCTACAAGAAAGAACGCCGATGTTACATGTTTTCACTTCCAAGATATCGTCGCCTAACGCTAGATTTACGGAGCACAAAAAACAGCTGTTTCATGTTAGCTTATAAGACATTTATTCTGACTTTTAACGAGTGTTATTGTAACATTTGCCGTAAGTAACATATAAATTGAATAAATAACTCGTAAATGTATCTTTACGATGTGAATAATCGTAAATTAAAAAATTAGTGACCCGTCATTATGACGGGTTCCGTGAATCTGATGTTAAAGTTCTGATGCTGAAGTTTCAAATTGCATCATTTCGTCTTCAACTCTATAGAATTTGTTTCCACGATGTTTCTTTTTCCGATAAATGCGCGAATCCTATATGCTACAGTTCAATTAATGCATTAACTATGTATGCCCCTATGTCGAGTCAGACTCGACATTAACTTTTGCATTAATAGTTTATTTTCATGTACGTAGAACAATTGTAGTATTTCTAGTGCTAGTTAGGTTGCAAAGGATTGCGTTATAACAAATTCTGACATAAAAGGAAGAAAATACTTTGGAACACAAAAGGTTAATTTAAATTTCGTAAAATTGTGACTTTCGGAATTTTTCCTTATAGCCACAAATATAGCACCGTGCGGTTCGAACACAAAAGAATGTTTGGTTGAAACTACACGTGAATAATGATGTACTTTGGTTCAGGCAGAAACTTGATTTTCTTCTCGATCATGCATTAATTGTTTCAATGCTGTCCAATATTTTCCGTGAACAAATATGTTCATCTTAAATGAAATAAAATAATTTGTTTGACTAAAGTTCTTTGTTTCCATTTTACAAGCAACAAACCAATATTTTCTTTGTTTACTAACTTCTTCTTTATCCAATAATAGTGCTATACAGTATAGATCTTCTAAAGATAAATGTGGAAACATTTTTAATCGACAGTTAATCTGTGAAAGATTTTTTACGACTGACTATTCCGGAACTTGGATTACTGGTGTAAATACTAATAATAATAATTTGCCTGAGTCAAATCGTGCCGTGAACGTTCTATATAAACTATAAATAAATATATAATATATAATATATATATATTATACTTATATTATATAAATATAATATATATATATATATATATATATATATATATATATATATATACTTATATTATATAAATATAATATATATATTATAAATAAATCCGAACGAAATATATAAATCGAGCTTAATTCGATTCGCGCCGGCTGGAGAATCGAACGGAACATCCCGTGTTCGAATATGGCCACCTGCGCGGCCGATCGCCCACGCAAAATTGTGGAAGCGGAGGATCGTAATGGGTTGCCCGGGAACACGCATAATCAATTAGGATGAACGGCGCGACGAGTCACGATAATAGTATTTTCCCGCGGGCGAGCGAAACGCAAGCGCGACGCCGCAAGCTCGTTCTGAACCGGCTGGTCCTGCGTCTGGAGAGGATTGTGCAACCGTACACCTCGCATAGATCATCCGGAAGATGCTGTCCGAGCGTCGGACGACTCTGCCTACGTTTCGGTTTTAATTGTGCAACGGATCAACGTGTTCGCATCTCGCGCTCGGCGAGGCTGCGGTAGTCTCGCTGTCTATTGTTCGCGAAGATTCGCGGTCGGTTGACCGAGGAGGAGCCGCGAGAAAGCGCATCTTGGAGGAAACTCCAGGAAACTCCGGTGGGAATCGGTGTCCCTCGGGGACCAGGCAAATCGACGGGTCCTGGCTCGGGTAACCGCGATCGACGCCGGTTGATCGCAACGAATCTCGTGCATTCAGGTGGGATCCCGGCGGAACAGACGCCGCAGATCGTTCTGCTGACGTTCGACGACGCCGTGAACGATCTGAACAAACCGTTGTACGCCGATCTGTTCGAAAATGGCCGAAAGAACCCGAACGGGTGCCCGATCGCGGCCACGTTCTACGTGTCGCACGAGTGGACCGATTATAGCCAGGTGCAAAACCTGTACGCGGACGGCCACGAAATGGCATCGCACACCGTCTCGTAAGTGTCAACGTTCACCAAAACGGGGAACCTAGGAAACATGTGTGTCTAACGTGTCTATTATACGCAACCAGCACCCCGCCGCTAATGCTCGTTCGTTCAAGCGCGAACGTTAGGTCCATCGATCGTCATCGCCTGCGCATCTGTACTAAGACTAACGTTCTCCATCTGGGCGCAGCACCGACTTCCGCTGTCGCTGCCATTACGCGCGCGCGTTCTCTTATCGAAAGTCGATCCGCGCTCGGGAGGTTGCATCGATATCGTCGACGAAAATCGGACGCATCCGTCGCCGGTGGCTGGAAAGATCGTGGAGAAAAATTGCTTCGCGGCGTCGATGCGACCGGTTCCCGAGAACGGAGAAGGCTCTCGATCGAAGGCGATCCTCTGGTTCCGCGAGGTGTCCCGCGGGAAAACGTGCGCTCGCGGAAGTGGAATCGAACTGATTTCAAAGTCAAATCCTACCGCCGGCCCGGTACATTGTTCTCGACCTGCTGAGAACCGGCTCGCCGAAGAAAGCAGATCAGATGGTATCGCGCGTGCCGTCTCGTTTGTCGCGCATCGGAGCGTTCGCAGAAGCGACGCGTTTCCGGAACAAATAGCGCCGCTTCCGTTCCGGCCGGATTTCACGGGGGCCACACACGCGCAATTAGAGAAAACGCCGAGGATCTCGCGATAAAATAGTAATTGCGAGCCGCGCGGCTGGTGAAACGGGGCCCGGCGATCGGGAGATGAACGATGACACGGGTCGCGAGTTTCGTGTCGCGGGACTGGAACCGCGAGGCGGTTTCACCGGCCGCGTGCTGCCTGCCGCACCTGTGCCGTATACTAATGGCGCGTACTAACCGCAACTTTTCTCTTTTCTCTTTCTCTCTCTCTCTCTCTTTCTCTCTTTCTCTGGTCGGCTCTCTTACTCTCTCACTCTCTACTCGCATCACTCGGTCATCCTCGCATTCCCATCACGCGTCACACTCTAATCCATCGACGGACACGAACACGCGAACCCGAAAACTCTCGCACGGTTACGACTGGACGTTCGGAACGTTTGCACACACGCGCACACATGTGAACGACACCACTTGTAACACGAACGACGCAAACACACGGACGACCATATCGGGAACGCTTTTCCCACGCATCCGATCCTCGCGACCGCACTTCCCTCTTCCCCGGCATCCGGAAACGATCCCGAAAAAAACCACAGGTGACTACCTGCCGGAGGAGATACCGCAAATCGTTCTACTGACGTTCGACGACTCGGTCAACGACCTGAACAAGGGTCTCTACACCGACTTGTTCGAGAAGGGACGGAAAAACCCGAACGGCTGTCCCATCTCGGCCACCTTCTACGTCTCCCACGAGTGGACCGACTACAGCCAGGTTCAAAATCTGTACGCCAGCGGCCATGAGATCGCCTCCCACACGGTCTCGTAAGTAAACCATCGAGCCGAGAGCTTTCGATTCTAGGGAGCGTCTCGGAACGAGATACAACGACTCGACACTACCCCCGAATCGATCGTAATCGGGCGCCGCGCGTCGCGCACACCTATTCGACGATCGCTGATCATCAATCGTTTATCATCGCTCCATTTACCATTGAGCAATCGCTTAATTACCGGTCGATCGCAATCGTTCACGCTCCGCCGCTCTGCCGCCGATCAATCCGGATCGATCGGCTGCTAATGCAAGCTTGGCTACGCCGCGCGTCGGTTCGATCCGAGGCACCGGCAGCTCGATCGATCGGATGTCGCCGCTTCAGCACCTCGCTGCGGGCCAGAACGCCGCGAACAATCCGGGGAACCGGTCACGCGGCCGCGGAAAAAATCGGCGGTGTTATCGATCGAAGACGCAGCTCGCGAATCGAGCTACGGTCGCGGCCCGCGGTCCTAGAAACCGCCGATTCAACGTTCGCGCAACTTTCTTTCGCGACCGGTCATTCGCGACCGGTTGAGATCGTCGCGATATGTTCCCGAGCCTTGTGAACTTCGACCGGTGCCTCCGAGTTCTCCGAGTTCTGGCCCCGCGATCGCTTCGAACCTCGTGCCGAATCGTGGACGGGACGATGAATTGCCGGTGATGCGAACAGGCACAGCTTCGGCGAGCAGTTCTCTCAGCGGAAGTGGGCCAGGGAAGTTGCCGGTCAACGCGAGATCCTCTCGGCCTATGGGGGCGTCAAGCTGGAAGATGTCAGGGGAATGAGAGCGCCTTTCCTATCGGTGAGCTTTGAATTATTTTTTGTGCGAATGAAACCATTGCAACTATTTCCATTTTATTAATATTTTATTACTATTATTATTATTATTATTACTATTACTATTATTATTATTATTATTACTATTATTACTATTATTATTACTATTATTACTATTATTATTACTATTACTATTACTATTACTATTACTATTACTATTACTATTACTATTACTATTACTATTACTATTACTATTACTATTACTATTACTATTACTATTATTAATATTATTATTATTATTATTATGCTGAACTTTTCTGGAGAAATTAAAATAATTAACCCTCGCAGTACCGGCGGTTGGGCGTTCACGCGCAACCCCACGATCTTATGTACACAAACATTTTGAACTAAAGTTTTGTTATTATTATCATCATTATTATATTATTGCTGTTATTATTACTATTATCTTACCGTACTCTTTTTACATGGTAATTACATTAGAACATCGGTCGAACGCGATCGACCCGTCTAACCCAATCTCGATCTCTGTGGACCAGGTCGGAGGGAACAACATGTTCAAGATGCTCTGGGACACGAACTTCACCTACGACTCCTCCATGCCGATCTATGAGAACCGTCCACCGAGCTGGCCCTACACCCTCGACTACAAGCTCTTCCACGACTGCATGATTCCACCGTGTCCCACCAGATCCTATCCTGGCCTGTGGGAAGTTCCTATGGTGATGTGGCAGGACCTGAACGGCGGCAGGTGCTCCATGGGAGACGCGTGCAGCAATCCACCGACCGCCGACGGTGTTTACAAGATGCTGATCAAGAACTTCGAGAGACACTACACCACCAACAGGTATGCTCCCTTAACCCTTAGCACTCCGAACCATTCTGGACGTTGGCTACCAGCTATTCAGCGCCACTTTTCGGCAGAAACGAGCATTTACAGACCCTCGTATTATTTAGTATGGTTTTGGAACTAACTGACATATTATAATGATATTGGACTTATATGAATTTGGCTGCAATCAAGAAATTTGCAAAAAAATCAATATTTTATTTTTTATAATTTTGTTATTGTTTGTTTTATAATTTTGTTTTGTTGTTGTAATCGCTGTCTATGCGAACTCTTTCTCTCGTCGCCTTGTTGCTTGGACGATATCGCTATCGCTGCTATCAAAACGATAGACTAACTGTAGAAGAAAACCTTCTATCTGGAGCTCATCTCCGCTACTACTTGTGTCATGAGACTCATTCGTGTTCGAACGTTTTGCCATTGTTCTAATAAAAAATATGAATAAATATATAGGTTGAAAATTTCTAATTGTTATTACTAACTCGCAAGATGATATTTACCAAAAAAACTGT